TTGGTCTTGGTGGACTAGATCTGCTAGGCTGCTGCAGAGCAAGTAGACTTGCTTCTGTTAAATGCTCAGATCATCAAATTAAAAGGAAATATGCTGCTGTTGGTAGACAGTGGAAGATCCCCCATAGCAGATCTAGGCAGGTGGTGCTGGGGAGGCGGTGGGCTAAGATGAGGACATACATAGCGCGCAGACATATTACTCATTGAATATGTCCTGGTTATAGTTAAAACGTTAATGAATATGTGAATCCGACTGGCTGGGAACATTGAATTGAACGAACCAATTAGAACACAAGTAGAGTTTCATGGCTATTCATTTAATCGGAGTTGCTTTCGGCTAATTGGTATCAGCCAAAATGTGGTGCATATTCATTCAATTATTTAAATGAATTTAATTTAGTTAAATTACATTAAATTTAAAATGCAATTGAATGTAATAATTAAGTCAGTGCCATTGATTCTCAATGCCAGTTGATTCAATTGTTTAATTAGATTAATAACATGAAATCCTTAACACGATCAGTGTTGGGCAAGTTACTCTGAAAATTTAATTTAATTACTGATTACTCCTTTTAAAAGTAATCATGTTACTGTTCTGATTACTTTATTTCAAAAGTAATTAGTTACATTACTAAATACGTTACTTTTTTCTCCATGAAATGTATGAAATCCCAGCATACACGCTCCCGATAAATATTTTTTATTAAAGCATCAACATTCACAGAACACTGTTATTTTTAACTAAAGCAAGCATAGGCAGATATGCAGATTAATTGAAAGAATTACAATTATTTCATACATCAATCTCTTCTGAGAAAAGCCCAAAAATTTTTCTAATTGAGGGTCTGTGTGAACATGCAGACACATCTTTGATCATTGTGTGACGTTACGCAGATCTCACACAGAATGTGACCACACATGTAGTCTTCAAGTCAGCTGACCTCTCTTGATAGTTAGAGCTTTGTGACTATAAGGGTCAAAGAAGGTCTGTGCAGCTCTGAACGTCATACATAATACATCTGAAGAAGCCAGGATACTCTTCTAGACTTCTCATCTGTATTTAACTACAGTGCCTTGTTCTCTCGTGACTAAACCACAGATCAAGCTGTGATTCCATCACACTGTGAATTCTGGACTTTCTCTCTTGCTGAGAGCAGTATGTTAAAAACAACAGCACTACCGTCTCATGCTTGTTTGTTTCTACTAGGGCTCCTCAAGGAACTATGATCCTCCCAGTGTTATTGTCTGTAAGTACACATAATATGAGGAATTCAGATAAGAGCTGTTCAATTGCAGATGATATGACTCTGGTAGACCTGTCAGATTGCTCAGAACATTTTGAGCCTACAGCTGGAAATATCCATGACTAGTAAGAATGACTGGTTGACTTCAACAGAAAGGCAGAGTCAATGATAAACTGATTTTCACATGAGAAGATTGAACTTGTGGTAAGGTATACAGTCCTGGATAAGCAGCAACAACAAAAATGACATTTTATTGACCTCTTGGTTTCTAGAGTCACACTAGGTAGCTCCGCCCACAGTGAAAACTCACTGGTTGAAAGTAACACAGCTATATATTAAAATTCAAATATTTTTTGATTGGCTGTTACATCACAGTTTCACTTTCATTGTGGACAGACAAATTGCTTTTCACTGGAAATTCTGCTTAAAAAATAGTGTCAGTAAACATACAGATTTTAATATAAATCAATGTACACGGCAAAAACTATCTAGGAATTAAAAAGTCCAAAAACCTTCAGGTGCCTAGGCTCAAAGTTAATCTAGAAAGTATATAAATAAAAAATATATAAATAAAAAGAATTTAAAAAATAGAAAGGCTGTGTTTGAACCTCTGTGGCCTTCCTCAGCAGCTTCAGGACCTTGCTGACCACATTGCTGTGGAGGAGGCTAAGAAAATAAAATACACAAACAGTACACTTCTCAAATACCTTGAACCTCCACCTTCAGGGAGGAGGCAGATAATTCTACCTCTCGATAAAACAAATTACAAAGGCATTGTTTCATTCCCGTAGCTGTAAGCCTTTAAATAAGGACAATGCCTGACTCTGGTGCATCGTGGGGTTACTGAGTGCACACTGTCAGTCCGGATTTAATGAGGCTATATTTTTATGACTAAATTATGCTTTGTCTAGTATTTGTCTTATTGGTTATAATCAGTGTTGGGGAAAGTTACTTTTAAAAGTAATGCATTACAATGTTGCTTTACTCCATAAAAAAGTAACTAATTACGTTACTTAGTTACTTTTTATGGAAAGTAATGCGTTATGTTACTTTTGCATTACATTTTAAATTTGCACAGGGCTTGCTAGTTTGTTTTTAAAATAAAAAAGTTCTATTTTTGGCAAATATAAAAGCCTTTTCACACCAAAAGTGGAATGAATAAGCCTCAGGCTGAAGGGAAAGTAAATTTACGTCCGTACAGTAGAATGCAGAAGAAGAAATTTCAACACACTTCAGCAATAGAAAAAGACACACAAATGTTTGTCTAGAGTCATTTTTGTTTATTAGTATGGTTGAACTGGATCATCGAAGGTCAGAAGCAAAGACATTGGTTAATAGAATGGGATTAAATACATAAAGGATATTTGTGTTGTTTAACATTTAATTATTGCAGGTTTGCGTCATATTCTGTTGCATAATTTTTATTAATTTTGAGGATTTTATTCAATTTTTTTTGTGAGTGAGATGAATTAATGCATATTCATATTTATTTTAGAACTACAGTAACATCTGATTTCTCTCAAAAAAAGTAACTCCGATATTCTCTTGTAAATTAAGAAGTAATGCGTTACTTTACTACTTACTTGAAAAAAGTAATCTGATTACATAACTCACGTTACCTGTAATGCGTTACCCCCAACACTGGTTATAATGTGCAATAAATGGTATTGTATTTAAAATTTTATAGATTTATACTGGAATTTTTTATTTGATGGAATTTTCAATTAAGGGCGTAGATAACTTATCTAGTTCTCATCTATCTCAGTTTGCTCATTTAAAAGCACAATTTACAAGCAAAACGAATATCACAAAATATTACTATAAGATATAAAAATCTTAATTATGAAACTACTTAAAAATGAAGGATGCACTGATTATATATGAATGTATTAAATGGTAAAGAATATTTAAAAATGAATATGGATAATTAATATAATCTTTAATTATTAGTGTCATAATCATTTTTAGATTATTTTATGAAAAAAAAATGCAGTTAGTCATTTAATAAAATCTCACCCAACATTCATGGTTTCTGAGGTTCTTGATAATTACATTACAGATAAAATGTGATCGTCCATAACATAGCAATTAAAAATGAATCACATCCTCACACTGTCACACATAGCCTACATATAGCATGAAAACAGTAACAGTAATCACATCACAAATGTAACACCCTCTAGGGCTGAGCGGTATATGAGGCAATACCGTTTATATCGATATAGCCTACAGTAGTTTGATACGAGCACATCTGAAAAATATAGCGGAGGAGACTGAGCTGCTGAGGAGAAAGTGCATAATTCAATTTGTTCTACACATGTGACAAGCTTTATATGAAGGGCTTAAAAAAACTTGGAAGATATAGTATAGTTTATAGTTTCATATAGTTTAAAGCAGCTTGCCCCGTCAGATGCTCTGACAGAAAAGCTGTGTGTGCCGCTGACAGAGAAGCTACTCTCGCTGTTTAATGTGTCTGTAGAAAAAATATTTGTAGTTGGACAATAAATGTGACATATGTAGAATTTTAAACCTACAAGTAAGTGTATTTGTATGATAGCACTAACTGTAAAGTGACTGTAATGGGAAATCAAAACAGCCCTTTTACTCAATTAGTCTGTGCTTTTTTATTATTTTCATTTTAAGTTTAGTGAATTTAACTTCTGCTTTAAAGGCATTATTTTTGTTTTTATATTGCAATGTTAGAATGTTAGAATGTAATGTGATTTTAACCCTTTTTTGCACATAATATATGCCTACATGGTTACATTTACTTTATTTGTTGTTCATTGCCTTTAAATGCATTGTTTTGTTGGAGAACATTGGGTAGGATGTTAAATACATATATTTATATTATATATAAAATACAGATTTTTTTTAATCCAAATACAAAAGCATAGAAAATACCGAGATATACACTGTAAAAAATGACCGTGAATTTAACGGTAAAAGACTGTAAAAATGCTACAGTAAAAACCTGTTAAATGGTTAACGGTAAATTCCCCTACTATATACGGTGAAAAACTGTATTGGACATTACATGTATTGGACATTAATTTTACGGTAGTATACCGTTTTTGGAAGTGAAAAAGACTGTATAATTTACAGTGAATAACCGTAAATTGACATTCTCAGAATTCCCTGCGTTACATTTCAAATTTGATGTTTTTTTGTTGAAATAACTGTTTCTTCTTAGTTTTTTCTTATCAGTTTTGTATATTAGGGTTGTGTGTTACACCTAATGTTGTTAAATGAATGTTTATTGAATTATTTCAGTTTCATGTGTGTTACCATGATGGTGTTTAGCGTTTGTGTGAATGACACTGTGCACCTTCTATATATGTTATTATTTAAAAGCTGCTTGTGATGGGCTTTGGTTCATCATGTGACTTTCTCATCACCACCTGCATTTGGTGGTTATCAGTGTATTACAAGGGTACAAAACAGATTTCAGTACTTCAATAGGTTGGTATATTAACATTATTTCAGTTAATGAAATTACGGTATTTAACTGTAAATTTAAGTTAAAACCGTAAAACCTAAAATGTTGCTACCATATTTTTTACGGTAAAATTCCGGCAACCACAGCTGCCGGTTTTTTACCGTAAATTTTACGGAATTTTTTTTACAGTGTATATACTGTATGCCCCAAATCAGCCAAAGTAATCCTGAGATATGAATTTTTGCTCATATCGCCCAGCCCTAATACTCTCAGAACAAGACAATCAATAACATGCACATATGCAGGAATTTAGTTTACCTCTTATTCTCAAGCTCTCTGTTACCATCTAAGAGCAGGAATTTATGGAGAGGACACCTGGAAAACCTGAACATTTGGGAGACAGAAAGAGAGAAGGAGAGAACTATATGAGTATTTTTGTCTCATCTCATACAATTTTTGAGCAATGACAAAAAAGGAAAAAACATAGGAATTTTAAAAATTAACTCCTATTTAATTTCACAGAGATACACAAACTGAACATGTGAAGAATACAAGGGGTTGCTAAGGTCTTTAAGAATGTTACTTCCTCTCAGTCTGCCATTCTCTCCTCAGAGGAAAAGAAAATCTAAGAGAGAGAAAAAGAGGAATATGTCTCCACTGACAGATGAAGCATTAAATATGTTCAATCTTGATCTATGGTTACTGGGTACATCCACAGCCCACGGATGCTGAATGAGGAAACCGAAGGACACACACACTCACGATAGGCAGAATCCTCTGGACAGAGAATAATCAACTGATTGGGTATGTAAAATGAATACTCATATTGAATCACTTGAGTATAGTAAAAAATAAGGTTATTTCTTACCATAAAAAAGAAAAAAACCCCGCAGTGGTAGGATTTGGTACATTCTGGAGTTTCTGTGAACTTTGACTATGACTTTATCCCTTCTAAATCAAAAATATGACCATGCTTCAGTCCATTTTGGCTGTGTATTGTGTCTGCACTGTGCAAGATGTGAGCAAGGTTCAAAATTAACACCTGCCAAGCACCAAAAGTAAATAAAGTTACTCGCCAGTTGGCTGGTAACTTTATTTAAAATTATGTGGTTTAAATCACATTGTAAGAACGAGAGTCAACCCTTGCTTATGTAAGAGACTAACATACTTCAAATGAAACTGTCTGCTGAAGAAAACACATGCCTTTTAACAACTTCCTCCTCTAGGATGTCTAAAGTCATTTTTTTTTCTCCAGAGATCCATGTGGCAACACATATGTGGAATTGTCACATCCAACATCCAAAATGAGCAGGAATAAAAGCACAGTATGTCTTCACATTTTAGTGCAGTTTCACTAACAGATGGAGACCAGCTTGTTTACGATGCTGAAAGTGATACAATGACCTGCACGGTTTATCACTAATATACAAGGAAAAACAGCTAAATAATTAGACAGTCAAAATGTTTAATATATATAATTATCTTTGCCTGTGTTCCTGCTAATTAGTTTTGATTATCCAAATTTGTACATAAGCCCTGAATTCTCCTCAGTTCGCCTGTATCGTCCATGTTTTAAGTGGTTGCGTTTCTGTGACTTCTCCAGCGTGTTTATTTGTTTAATATATACAGTTTCATGTGCTGTATGAAATAGCTATCGACAGCAAATCCTCTCAGTTCCAATGGCAAGTAGTGTTACCAAACATATTGAAGAAACTGATTACACTGCAAGTCAGGGATGTTGTGAAAATCAATGGAGTATGTGTGCAGTTTCTTCTCATTTGCCTCATTCAAAGTATAATTCATTTTCATTATGTCAGCCAGAAAATTAAGCTACAAATAACTCCCTTAATTCCAACAAAACACCATTTTTTTCCTTCAGAATGAAAAAATAATGTTTTGATCAGCTATTGACAACTCAATCAACACCTTCCCTTTGGCCATGTTTGGGGCTTTGCCGTGAAACCCAAAGGAACAGATTCTTGCACATTTTCAACACAAATGACTTTAGAAAGCCCGTCAGGATTAGACCCCACGGGCAGGATTACGTAATCTCACAGAGAACGAACTCTCGTTCGACAGAGGTCATGGTAAGATAAGAGGGAATCCATGTAGAAAACCATGCACGACAGAAGTTAATGAGGCGAGGAGGGGAAGTTTGTCCGTGATCTGATGTGATAGAGTGAAAAACAAACATTTGTGTGTGTGAGTGCTTGTGAGGAGGAACAGATAAGCAGAGAAGAGAATACAAACACTGCTTTAGATGGCAAAGTGGCATTTGTATGCAGTGTTATCTGGTGACGTGAAATTTATACAGAGTGAACTGGCGCACATATTAACACAAAAACACTCATCCGACACTTCACAGGCTGCTAGAAGGGCCGAGGGCAATTTTCTTAAGGGGGCAAACAGCCACAAAAGCCCACACCATCTGCGTGTGCTTTTATTGACGGCCACACATAGACAGCCCTGAAGCTGTCGCGTCAGTCACACTGTGCAAATACTTTCAAGCAGATATCCAAAAGAGCATTCCTCACTCTCTCAAACTCTTCCATCCCTCCAGCTATAAAGGCTAATATAATGAGCAAACGCCAAATCAACCCCCCCACACCATTTCCCTACTGATCGCTTGCTTTCTCTACGGGAGGATGAATAAAAGCATATTTATGGCCAACGAGGATATAGCAATCCCGACAGCAGGGAGGGACTGGTGCCAGCTGACCTTATGCAACAGAAACACACACACACATACATTCCAGGCTCAGTCCTCTTCAGATGTAGGTCTTCTCATCCTGGGAGTAAACAGGCCTTTTTCACTCTCGACCTATTGACAGAAATTAGACTAATGGTGCACAGAATAAAAAGAAGAGTGAATCAATAAAAGTGTACTTTTTGCTTTAAAGGAATAGTTCAGCCATTATGTTCTCATTTCTGAAATCTTATGATGTTCTTTTCTTCCAAAGACCACCAATGGAGATGATAAAAGAATACTGAATAGTGACCAGCAGCTACCAAAAAGACTAAAATGAACCATAAAAATAACATAAAAGTAGTCTATACAACTTGTGTGCTGTTTTCCAAGTAACTTGAAAACTTTGTGTGAGGATTATACTAAAATTAAAAGTAACATACTCAAAATCCTTCTATATTTAAAGGGATAGTTCACCCGAAAATGAAAATTACCACATAATTTATATATACATGATTTATAAAACAACGTCTCAGGTTACTTATGTAACCATGGTTCCCTGAGTAGAGAACGAGACACTGCGTCCTCTAGGGGTCGCTATGGGGAACGCCTCGTCGTGACCCGTGTCTGAAGCATACATTGAAAAAACACCAACAACACGTTGGCCAGCGACAGCCCATGACGTCACTACCGGTGCGACTATAGTATAAATAGGCATGTCATTCACTTCTTCGTCTGAAGCTTGCGTTCGAAGCATGGCAGGAAGCCTAGAGGACGCAGTGTCTCATTCCCTACTCAGGGAACCATGGTTACATAAGTAACCTGAGACATTCCTTTTCAAGGGAACTTCGAACTGCGTCCTCTAGGGGTCGCTATGGGGAACGGTACACCCACGCCGCCATGCTGAGGGGAGTGCAGGCCAGAACCATGGCGAGCACTAAGTACCAACTCTACCATATTGCTATGGGAGTCGCCCCTGGGACGTTAGACGGCTGTCAGTGACACAAGTCGAGCACCTGGTTTCTGAATCCAGCAAAGGGGTGCTCACAGAGGACCTACCTTAGAAAGGACAGAAACACACAGGTACCGGAAAACGCTGCAAAGAAATCTCACAGAAGGATTATACACACATAACCACCAGCACATTAAATACATATAAGATAGCTAGCCAGTCGTCTTTTTTACAGGGGCATCCTCTCATAGTCGTTTCCGCACATCGCCTCGATGTTGGCATAACTCGTATGCTAGAATCGATGAATGCATAAGAAAGATAATGCTCAAAACTCACCATACGCAGAGCAGGAGGATTGGGAAGGCTCAACCTCAGCTTCTTCTGCTTTTTCATTAAAATACGCTCGCAAAGAACGCGGATTGCCCCCTCAAGGACATCGCGTGCGTGCTCTTTGCCCAAACAAACAACGCAGAGATCGTG